GTGATGTTCCCGTAGTAGGAGTTGTTAGCCAACTTGCTACTACTGGGATGTTACAAAACTATAACCTATCAGTCACCATTCCCCTTATGCCCAGACTCAGTAGCGCTGCGACCTCGCGCCATCACTGATTTGTTTTTTGGAAATCGAGGAATCGAACCCATAGATCACAGCTTTGCGATATCTCCGTAGAAACAAGTTAGTTAGCCACCCCTACTACAGGGATATCATAATATATATATATATATATATACTGATTTGAGTACTTTTGAAGGTGGACCATCTGTATGTGTACGGTGTCATGCCATCCACCTATACTCCTTTGCACTGACACTTGTGGGAGTGTTCTATCTTAACACATGCTGCCCACTTTCCATCGCAGAGTGACGCCACTTCATCGCATCCGTTTGGAACGGTGCAATCGCAGCTGGTAGCAGCGGGACAGACACACATAGGTCAGCTGGGTAAGTCATATGCTCTCGTACTAGGCCTTAAACCCTAAACCCTAGAATGAAGGGTTGCTAGTTTCTATAACCCTAAACTCATAAATAGCTCTAGTACTTGGCTAAAGAATGGAGTGTGTATAGTTAAGCGCATGTCCTTGCTGTGTAGTTCTTTCGAGTAATATACCCGGCCACGTGTGTGGTATGCAAGTCCAAGTGCACTTACTGTCCCATCAATAAAATGGTACGGACAGGGAGTGTCTGTGTGCTGTGTGTAGGCGCCTCTGCTTATAGTCCAATGTGTTCTGCGCACTCCCGTCCTCCCCACGCATCTGTTGTCGTTGTTTTTAACCTTGGTTGTCTATGTACGTTATCCGATTGGTTAAAATTATCCGCCCATCTGCAGGGATATCGGTAGAACCGTTGGTTGAGCTGGCGCAGCAAGTACCTGCCACACAAAACAACGCACTCAGCAACCCCACCAATCTAGTGACGTTCACGGAGAAGATCCTCACCAGCTTCATGAACTACGCCATGTCCTTCACGTGCACACAACAACAGGTACGCGAATGCTGTATGTATGCGCATGAATATCCAGATGCATGCACATATGGGTATATATGCATGAATATTCAGATACATGCGCATGTGTATATATGCATGAATATTCAGATACATGCACATGTGTATATACGCATGAATATTCAGATACATGCACATGTGTATATATGCATGAATATTCAGATACATGCACATATGTATATATGCATGAATATCCAGATACATGCACATTTGTAAATTTACACAGAGTATGAAAGTTCATTTCGGTGCTGGAATATGTTTTGACTACAATATGCTTGTACGTGCACATAAAGATGTAGACTTATTCTATAGATTTGATATAGTGGTATGTGGTATGTGCATCACTTCTGTGCACGCGATGGCTTTCTATGTCAACTGTCACAGCCCACACATATTCACACACACACAGTCAGTGGCCCAAATGGATCGTTTTGTATTGTTTTGTGTCGTTGCCAACTCAGTAAGTATACGGCACATAGTAGACTCTATACTTCTCATGATATCCACAAGCACCTGGATGTATGATGTACACACATCCTATCAACCGTGTACACTCCCTATACTCCTCATGATATGTATTTTGCGCACACATCCTATCAACCGTGTACACTCACTATACACCTCATGATATGTATAGTGCACACACATCCTATCAACCATGTACACTCTCTATACTTCTCACGATATACACAAGCACCTGGCTGTATAATGCCCATACATCCTATCAACCGTGTACACTCTATACTTATCATGATATGTATAATGCACACACATCCTGTCAACCGTGTACACTGCGATGTAAGTCACGTGTCCATACCTGGCCCATCTGGTGCGTCCTGTGTGTTGTAACACACGTAAACCCTAAACCCCACGTGCTCGCAGATGGCGCAACGGCCCAATGAGATGTTCATTCCGCTGTCTGTGGTACAGCAATGGTTCGACAAATTCAAATCGAAGCTCAACGCAAACCCGAATTTCTGGAAGGATTTATAGCCCGCTCATTAGATTGGAACATACTTTATTAGATTGAGACATATTTTATTTATTCAACACTACACCATTCGCGGAGCTTCTACCTCTGGCCAACATTAGTCTATGCCACAGCTGTGTATATGTCACTTCAGACCCATTCATCCATGGGTGCACCTCCTTAGTGAAGTCCGCTAAGCATTCAATAAATTTCGGAGCGCCGGTGGTCCGGATATCTACTACATTCGCCGCACTGTGAGCATCTGGCACTCGTATCATGCAGTGCATGTCTGTCATGTGGTTGCGTGTCCTTTATAGCAGTTGCAACCTGAACAAAGCATAACAAGTGCTGTGGTCTTGGATATAAGGATGTGCTTCTTTTTGCGCAAGTCAGCTTTTGTCCACAAGTTGGCGAACTTCGACACAGATTGTTCGCTGTCTCATATCCGAAAAGTCAGTCACGAAGGAACTCCAAGCTTACCTTCTTGAACCATTTTGGGTACTCGATCCATCGATTGCGCCCGTCTTTGACGAGGTTAATTGTTACTATGTAGTCTACTACAAGACCAGTGAACGTTCTGGCTTGCGTGTAAGATAATGTTATATGGCTGGTGCAAAATACTATAGCTTAAGCGATACATATTGCCCTGATGAGCCATATCCAAAACATTTGAGATGTGTTTTTTTTTCATTGGCTTATCCATGTACTTTGCTGACCTCATCGTCTCTTGTGTATGGCCAGAGCATCATCGCAGGCTGTAATCATAATTACACTGGTACATCTCTCGTAAGAAACTTGTACGACATGCTTTCTTGCACGAGACATACCACGTATTGTAATTCACAACTATAAGACTCGGAAACAGGAAAACCATGGATTGAAAAGCTCGATAGTCCGTACGTCTACTATCACCTATACCCACCTGTACACGATATCCACAAGTTTCATCCATATATGTTTGGAATGTTTCACCTCGCCTGTACATCTCTTTGACACTTATAAGGCGCTGTCGTCGTTCAGATGGACGATAGTTGGGATGCTATTTATTATTTTCAACAAAATAAAATTTTGTCAACAAAACACTCTTTGTCCATTTTTTAATATCGGATCGAGTTATTGTCCTGCTCACTACAACCTGCTGTATGTTGTTCATATGTAGAACGAACACTTTTTGAGCATGCGGTCATGACGTCATTTGGTCGTGAGTTTTTGAACATCTCGCATACCGGAAAATAGGGATGCCTTATAAGGCATTCTTGATTTTTGCAACCACCGTTGGTCTTCGATTGGAGTATTAAAATTGTATTTTCTGACGAGGTGGCTGTGGAATGTGGTGGTAGATGTTTGAACTCGGTGAATATTATTTATAATATTAGAAGGCTATGGAAGTAGATATGGGTAAATATGCTTAATTTAGAAGGCTATGATAATTATCTAACTGACCATAGCCTTCTTGTTCAATTTATTATAGAAAGCTATTATTAATTTTGCATCTACATGAGAAAAAAAGTGACTGAAAGTCACAGGGTCACAAATTATATAAGTGTTGATCTCGCATTCTCTCCTACCTACCTTGGCTGATTATGAATTCATCTACCATAATCTCCTACTTATCATGGCTGATTATGAATACATCTACCATTCTCTCCTACATACCATGGTTCATTATCAATTCACCTACCATTTTCTCCTACATAACATGGTTCATTATGAATTCATCTACCATTCTGCCCTACATATCATGGTTGATTATGACTTCATCTACCATTCTCTCCTACATACCATGGTTGATTATGGATTCATCTACCATTCTACCCTACTTACCATGGCTAGTTATGAATTCATCTACCTTTCTCTCCTACATACCAAGGTTCATTATGAATTCATCTACCATTCTGCCCTACATACCATGGTTGATTATGACTTCATCTACCATTCTCTCCTACATACCATGGTTGATTATGACTTCATG